GGAGTTTCTTTCTTAGAGACACCCCCACACTCAGTCTTCAGCAGGGAAACTTGTTGCTTTGCCTCCCACGAATTTGTCACCCCTTTCCCCCTGGGTGACAGAGCCTCCAAAGATTACTCAAAGCCCATCTGAGCAATGAGAAGCCCCGAAAAGGGGTTAATCTCCTGGAACCCTCAAGAGCAAGGCATTCCTTCCATTTGGGAAATTAACCACGAATTGGGGTTCTCTTCCCGCATTTATTCTCCTCTTCCCGCATTTATTCTCCAGACCAGGAAGTTACAGGAAGAGAACATAGGTGGGTTTTTTCCTAAGTACAGTTTAACAAGTTTAACAATAGAAGCTGGTAACATTCAGTAAGAAAAGCAAGGTGACATTCTATAATGCAATTTTCAAGAAGTTAAGTTGATCCACTAACAAAAGCTTGATTTCAGCAAACATTCTCTTCTTACAGCAATCTCCCAGTATCTTTACATATCAATCAGTAACCTGTCTGTCTTTGAGCCAGCAACCTTGTTGTGTTACAGTTCTTTATCTTACAACAGAGACTATAGCCTGGGGAAAATTTCCTGTCCTTTGCAAGGTCAGTATTTGGAACTGCAAGGCTTTGGAAAACTAGGCCCTGTGAAGTACATTTATGCATATTCCACAGAAACTGAGTTGACTGTGCACTCCAGCGTCCTAACTTTCTAACTCAGTGCTTGATGCACTGAGTTAGGGAATACTTTGTAACTTCTCAGGCCTTAGGAATGAATACAAAAAAATGGTCTGCTTCAGGGTATCATTAACAAAGGAGGTATTGAGATTCAGTTTTGTGGATAGAGAGAAGAGAAAGCAGATTTTTGAGCAGTTTCCTTTTGAAATTTGACAGTGATAGCCGGGAAATTACTTTTTTCTAGTTTGGGGGTATGATGAGTCCTGTTTTCTAAGTAGGAAACGCCACTGTAGTAGTATTGGCCACCGTGGCCCGGGACCGGTTGGTTTACTTCTTCCAGTACTGATTGCTGAGGCTGAGTGCAGTCCTGGAAGTGCAGGCAGTAGCCTGTCCTGAGAGACCCAGCAGAGCCCTGGATTATTTGTCAGGAAGGCTGTGAGTGCCTTAGCAGATTTCAGGAGGCGGTGCCTTGTCCTCACCCAGCCTCATTCATAGGTTAATCTGTGCAGGTTTACGTTTCCTTTTCTGCCTGAGATCTGAAAGCTGTGGAATTACTAATCTATAGGTTAAGTCCACCTCAGGGCCATTGGAGGGGGCTGGTAGCCTGGTGACTGTGCAGTTAGCAGGCTTGCTCCATCGCTAGCTCAGCCCACCTCAAGCCAGGCTTTCTTAACTCTGGCCCCAGTACTGAAAAAAGCCTTCAGTATATTCCTTTAAGGGAAAGCCTGTGCCAAGGAGTGGACCTGGAGAGCTAGTAGATTACTTTTCTCCCATGCTGTCTTTGGTAAATATGGTTTCTTCATCCAAGTGAGTTTTCGGTCACAGTCACACTTTACTTGTATTAAAGCTGAAAAATATATGACAGTCGCCTAGTAACATGTTTTTCTGCTACAGTAATGTTTTTAGTTCCTTAAGATCACTAATCAAATTTATACCTTTCGCCTTTTAACTAAGCAGAGATTCTGTCCTGTCCTCTTCATAGAATCTTGAAATAATCTAGAAATAATTCTAGAATAATTCTAGAAATAATCCTTTTTCCTTTGTATTTTGAATATACAAAAACCAGTATATTCTTTAAATTTTCAGTTTTAACAGTGACCCTATTTCCATTATTCCTATCAGACTCATCTTAGCATTTTGGTGAAATTATCTCAGAGTCTTAGGAAATGCTTGTTAACTTCCATCAGATATTTTGTGACTCATGATTTTAACTATTTTTGAAAGTCAACTGGCATGCTAAAAACCTGTTAACCACAAAGGTGTGGTTTATGGCAGGCATCTTCAAATTTGTTTGCTCACATATCCCCTGAAAGAATTTTGAAAAGCAGTATACCCTGACTCATATTTTTAGATTGACACACAGGATTTTTTTTTTTAATCGTAGGTAAATTGTTGCAAAGAATTTTCAGCCTATTGGGAAATATTGATTTTAAAAATGAAAGCATTATATCACTCTTAAATGAATCCAATGAACAGTAAATGACATTTAAAAATAAAATCATTATATTCTAAATGTCTGCAGTGCGCAGTAAATACATAGCAAGTTGACATCCATTGTCATCTGTATAAAAATGCAGAAACAGGGCCGGCCTGGTGGCGCACTGGAGAGTGCGCTGCTTGGGAGCGCAGCGGCGTTCCCGCCGAGGGTTCGGATCCCATGTGGTGACCGGTTCCCGCTCACTGGCTGAACGTGGCGCGGGCGCAACACTGAGGGTTGCGATCCCGTTACTGGTCAGTAAAAAAGACAAAAAGGAAAAAAAAATAAAATAAAAATGCAGAAACAGGTGCTTCATTAATAGTCAGAGATATTACATTTGATAGTTCCTTTTTCCCTGAAATAGTATTTTTATTTCATATATTCCATAGTATTTTATGTTAATATGTTTATACTTAAACTTTTTAAAAGTATTAATTACCTTATCATATTTCTTTTCCACAGAGCAAATTCATAAAAATTTTTGGTTTATTTATAGTACACCAAGGCTTTAAGTGTAAAAAATTTCCTTTGGATTAAGTTGTCATTATAATTAGTAGATTGCAGTTAGTAAAACCAGCAAATATAAGTTTTGATAAATACTTATTAAGTAAAACAATAAAATCTCTTTGGCAATGCATCTCTTGATGAGATAGATTGGTGGTGGCGGTGGGGGCGGGGGGCTGGTTTAGCTCCGGTAAGAGGAAAGCATCTTCTTTTGTAAAGAGGGAGGAGGACCGATGGGAAAGGAGAACCAGACTGATGCGTCCACTCAGCCTCAGAGCAATTTTGGAAAGAGTGCGTGTGGACGCGAAGACAGAAATTGATTTCCCTAAGATCCATCCATGCTCAGGCATCCTTGGGGAAGTCTGTGTACTCAGAAGGTAGCAGAGCTCCCCAGGTGATTCTTAGGTCCCGTCAAGTGAGAGAGCAGCTCTGTTAGGGGCACAGCGCAGTGGTTCAGGATGTGACTCAGTCATACCTCCTGGGTTGCAGTACCATCACAGTCATACCTCCTGGATGTGTCTTATTCAGTGTCCTCCTCTGTAGGCAGTCCAGTAATCGCAGCAGGTACCTCACAGGGCGGTTGTGAGGATGGAATGTGGGAATGCATAGAAAGCCCGTAGTTCAGTGCCTAGTACTTCACGTGCCTTCAGTTGATAGTAGCTACTTTAAGCTGACGACTTGCTAGATGACTTGGGTTTGGAACACCAACATTGAAAATGTTATGTGCCACATGAAGTGCTTGACACAAAGAAGAGAAAAATCCAGTGGGATGTCCTTGGAAAAACTCCAAGGCGTCCCTGGGAAATGGCTGTGAAAGACAACGTTTCAGCCTGTTGCTGTAATTAGCCTGTGCTGGGTGTTGTCTGAAGGCCTGGACATCTGTCTTCACCGTGTCCCAAGTCTGCTGTGTCATGCGCGCTTTGCTTTTGAAGCAGGTAACTGATTCCTGTATGGGATTGCAGCTAACTCATCTGCTGCTCGTGGACACATGCTTATTTTGCTCCAGTGTTAAGGAGAAGGTTTTCTTTTTCTCTTTTATCTCACCTCATGTTTAAATTTCCTTAACACTGGAGGAAAATCCAGTCTCTTTCTACCTACAGTGTTCTGTTTCTGTGGTACTCTTCCATCTGAACTTGACAACTAGATAAATAAAGGTAAGGGGGTGAGGGCAGCTACTTAATATCCTGTCCGTTGACTCTAGCCCCAGATAGGCTTGCTCTGATACTTCAGGCAGGAGACTGCTTTCTGGATCACACTTTCCTCATTTGTCAAAGGAGCAACCACATGAACTTAGTTCTCAGGGCTGTGTTGTGTTGTTCCTTCTCCCTTGAGGATGGCTGGTGTTTGGGGCATGGCTCAGTGCCAGCTCTCCTCCTTCACCCCGTCATCTCTGATCTGTTCTTTAATGATCGTTTAACCTGTCTTACCTTTATTCATTTTTTAAAAGAACTTTTTATTTTGAAATAATTGTAGATATATAGGAAGTTGCAACAATAGTACAGAGAGTCCTGAGCACCCTCTCCCAGCTTGCCCAGGGGTGGCATCTGACACTGCTGCAGTGTATCAAAACCAGGGAGTTGACACCTGGTGTCACTGTTAACTAGATCCCAGACCTTATTTAGTTTTTGCCATTTTTTTGGCCTTCATTCATTCGTGCATGTGTGTATGGCTCTAGCGATTTTATCATGTTAGATGCATGCAGCCGCTACTACAATCAAGATGCAGAATCGTTCCGTGACGGCGAAAGAGCTTTCCTTTGTATTCACACCCACCGTCCACTCTCCAGCCCCCAACACCCCACTTCTGTCCCTGTCCCCTGGAAACCATGAATCTGTTCTCCATGTCTACAGCTCTGTCATTTCGAGAATGTCACAGAAATGGAATCATATAGTGTGTACGCTTTATAGATGTACGCTTTCTAGATGTACCTTTTTCACTAAGCAGAGTGCCTTGAGGTCCCTCCAGGTTGTTGCATGTATCAGTAGCTCATCCCTCTGTACTATGGAGTCGTGTTCCAATGTAAGGATGCACTGGAGTACATGCCTGGCCACTCACTCGTTCACCCCCAGAAGGACTTCTGGGTATTTCTAGCATTTTACTATTGTCAGTAAGGCTGATATGAACATTTGTGTATAGGTTTTTGTGTGAGCACGGTTTTCATTTCTCTTTCTCAGGGACTTTATACATTTCTGGAGGATAACCTTGCCTGCTTCACACATTTTAAGAAAAATATTTCTGTTCACTTGAGTAGAGTTCAGTAATAAACGACGGACTCCTTACGTCTTTGTTTATGTAAGACCATTCACTGTAAGGGGATGAGAGTGGATTTCATAGAGCTTAATGTGACACTTTCTACCTTTTTTTAAGACACCTCAGACAACAAGGAAAAGAAATGTTTTAACCTTGAGGAAAAGTCCAAAATCTCCAAACATCGCGTTCATTATAAGAAGTTCACAAAAGGTAAGGTCAAGCATTTCCTCTTTTGTTGTTGAAGTCCATATGTTTGTGCCGAGTTTCTTGAAGCATTTTTAGCTTTTCACCAACAACTTCTTGTGTTACATACAAAGTACAGTGTGGACAGGCTGGCTGGATGACTCGGAAGTGGTGCTGAGGCCTCAGCACTTACTGTGAGTTGCCAGGGATCTGGTGAAAATGCAGGTTCAAGGCCGGCCCGGTGGCGCACTGGATAGTGCGCCGCTTGGGAAGCGCGGCGGCGCTCCCGCCTGAGGGTTCAGATCCCACATACAGACCGGTTCCCGCTCACTGGCTGAGCGGGGCGCGGGAGCAACACTGAGGCTTGCGATCCCGTTGCCGGTCCCCGGTCTGGTACGGGGGCAACACTGAGGGTTGCGATCCGTTGCCGGACACAGAAAAAAGACAAAAAAAAAAAATGCAGATTCACATTTAGTAGATCTGAAGATTAGGTTGTAGGCTGTGCACAAGTCCTGTGGCAGAACTGAACGTGGAAGTCAGTTTGCTGTGTAGAGGAGAGAAGGGACTTCATGTGGGCAGGTCAGGAAATGGTGTTAATTCATTGCTCAACATTTTAAGCTACATTTTCCTGTTTTCCAGACCTGGATGTTGGTGTTGAATAGCTCCTAATGTGCCAGTTTAGAGAACTAGACTTTATATCAAAGTTTCCAGCATGATAAACTGCAGTGCCAAGTTGATCCTGGGGTACCCCACACAGTCTCTCTGTTCCCTGGGGTTTTAACAGAGGCGTCCACGGTCATTGCCAAGACAGTGGTGGAAACCATGTTTGAGGAGCGGTTGGTGAATTCTGCCCTCCCCCCCGCCCCACCTTTTCCCAGTGCACGTCGCCGTCTGTCAGTGCAGTCCTTAACCACAAGGTGGCGGTCTTGTACTAGTAAGAAGCAATTTAAGTTGACCTAATCAACTCCCCAGGTGTTTTCCCACAGCACAGTGCCATGAATTAAGTGCACTTTCCAGCGACAGAAGCCTGTTTATTACACACCATACTTAAGGTATAAGTGTGATGACAGTTACGTTGTGATGTACAGTCACCAGTTGATGTTCTTCTATAGGAAACTGGATGTATATTCCCACCACCCTATGCCAGAAAAGCATGTCTCTGCTGCAGTATTGTTGGCAGAACCCACCCACATAGCAGTGGAAGCTAGAATTCCCACTACCCTAAACTATTGGTGGTGTTTCTCATCTGGGGCCAGGACCCCAAAAGGTAGGACTGGGTTTGGTTTAAGTGAGAGGCCATGAGAGTGGAGTTGATTTGGGTGCTGGATAACTTTGGGTTTGTGCAAAGAGGAGGGACTGGTGCTTCTCCCTCCCTATGCCTCCACGTGTGTTTTGTGTGGCTCTTCCGTGTCTTCCCCTTCTTTCCACCAGCAAGACCTTTCTCTGTTGTTAGCCTCTATGGCTCCGACCAAGTCCCTCTCCACCCCCAACCTGTGGCAGAACAGAAAGCAGCCCTTTTGAGCAGAGGGTATTGTCACTTCATACCTGGTCCCTTAAGTATCTCTTCTTTTTCCAGTAGGCCCTATAGAGCATGTTGGAGATACCGCACAAGGTGGTGCTGTGGAGCAGGTTGATGAAATTAGAGGTGGCCTGCAACTTTGGGGTGCTGTGCAGTCTTTTACGCTTTCACTTTTGCATGTGGAACCCTCTGATTTTCCTTTGGTGTCTGATTACATGCGTGATTTCATCTGAAGCATTTGCTGAAGCTGAGATAAACCTCTTTAATCTCCTTTAATCTGAGGGATGTTGGGCGTATCTCTTTCTATTTCTGGTTATGCCACTCCCTTGCTGGTGACCCTGTCAAACTGCTGGGTGTGTTGTGCCGTCCCTCTCTCTATTTAAAATGATATTTGCGTATTTATTAGCCTTGCTTGGGGAGAAGGGGACATTGGTGTGCAAGAAGAAAGATCTATTATCAGGTACGTAGAGGAGCAGATAGAGCGACAAAGCAGAGAACATGCGGGCAGGGCAAGGACGGGGAGAGAAGGAAGTAAAGCTGCAGGCGTGGGGGGCGCAGTGCTCTTCCATCCGTTCCAGCGTCCACAGCGGGAGCTCATCGTAAGGCTCTTTGACTAAAAGACACACTTTCCTTTAGAACAGGTGGTGTCAGTGGGTGTGAACTACAAACTCTTAAGTTTCTTCTAGGGCAGCCTGTCTTAGGGCGCAGGAAATGTGGGTTCTGGCCATTTCTCTGTCAGACAAACCACCTAAACATTTCCCTTCTCTCAGACTCAGTTTCCTCTTTTGTAAAGTGAGGAAACATTTGTAAGTCATTGTTAAGTTCTAAAATAGGTTCTGTTCGTGGTTTATCAGAAATGACCCCATGTTATGGAACTGTTGCTTTTTCAGCATCATGTATGATAGGGATTTTCACTCTGGGTATGCTCATAGTAAAGTAACTAATTCATTTAGTTTGATGAGGGATTCAAACTGTACCTCTCTCTGTGATCGAGGAAGCTGAAACATAGCAAGATGACATTTTACATGGCTTGGCAAAGAGTGGGGGTAGAAATTTTACTCCAGTGGGAGGGATCACAGTGGCCAGTGGTATTGCAGAATCCGCTACTGCCTCATCGTCAGCTCTGTCATTGTAGTTCTGACACATTGCAGTTCTGACACATTGTAGTTCTGACTCCTTTTTCAGGCCCCAAATTTATCATTTTAATTTGAAATAATTTATAATGTAATTTAAAAACTTACCCTTATCCATATTTGTTTAAAAGCCTAACTCCAGCCTGGTGTCTTTAATTTGAGAAACAGTGAGGCCACATCTACAGAGGGGAAGACACTGATTTGCACAAAACTTTTAAGTGTGTCACTCTGCAGTGAGGAGTTGTCAAGAGAGCATTGCTGTGCCCCCTCAGTTGCACAGTGGGTGGATGAAAAGTTGCATAAACCGTAGTTGTGCAGCTTACTCATGGTGACTTATATAGATTTTATTCCTGTTACGATTCATGGTATCGTATGCACTGCTTGCACGAGGAAACTACGTGCACAGCCCGTGTTGCGGTGCTCTGCTTGCTGACTGTGAAGTGCAGACTTGTGGGACTCGGAGCACAGTCAGCCCCTCCCGCCAGAGGACTGTGGCAGTGAGGAGGGTTAGGTTTCCTCATCTGATTCTCCTGACATTTAAATATAAAGTCGCACTGTTGCAGGCCTGTGAAAACTCAGACTGTCTTGTGCTTGGTGATTGGGGTCACGTTTTATTTTACCCCCTCTCTGATTCTTTCAGTTTTCCAAGTTTTCTAACATTACCTTTCAGTGAAATTTCCTTTATCTTCTGTCCTATGCTTGTCATCAGTCCCATGTGTTTGAATTGAAAAAAAAATCAAAGTATAATATTGTTTTATTTATCCTGCTTGATTGAAGAATGCAAATGAATTTTCTAAGCAATCAAAGGTACCTATATAAACCTTAAGCACCTTTTGTTTTATTTTTATTTATTTATTTATTTATTTATTTATTTATTTATTTATTTATTTATTTATTTATTTATTTATTTATTTATTTATTTATTTATTTTTTTGTCTTTTTTCGTGACCGGCAATGGATCGCAACCCTCAGTGTCGCGCCCGTACCGGACCGGGACCGGCAACGGGATTGCAACCCTCGGTGTTGCTCCCACACCTCGCTCAGCCAGTGAGCAGGAACCGGTCTGTATGTGGGATCCGAACCCTTGGAGGGAGCGCCGCCGCGCTTCCCAAGTGGCGCACTATAGCAGTGCGCCACCGGGCCGGCCCAGCACCTTTTGTTTTAACAAACATATTTCTAAAACCTGCGTCTCTTGCCTGTGCTCCTTTGCTCAAGTAGATAAACTCTACTCTCTGTAGATTTTTTTTTTTTTTTTTTC